AAGCCGTAGTAATTTCGAAGGTAGCAGTTTTCTTGTTGCCACTTCGGGTGAATCACAAGGACAAACCCGAAAATGGAAAACAGGGCTGAGATGAGGGCCACAATCACCATGTCCTGGCGGACGTTTTCCATGAGCCTTTCGAATGTAATATGCAAACTAGCGTTGCTGGGGGTGACGAGGTCGAATTTTGCGCGGTCTCGCAGAACGGTCGAAAAGTGTGCAGTGGCAGAACTGAGACTGGCAATGGCCAGTGAGGTAATGCTGAGAAAGACAATAACAAAACGGTTCCCAGTCAGGGCCCCGGCAGTATTCGGAGGCATTTGTGTCCGAAAGAACTGGTTTACCGATTGCAAAAGGGTGAGACGGATCTTGCTCAGGGAAATAGCCAAATCAAGTAAAGAGTAGGAGGTAGAAAGGCAGAACAAACCTTCCGGGCTTGTAAGGTTATATGTGCTCTGTACTCTTCACACAGGGCTGCCTTCTGAAGAATTGACTCCGCTAATGAGCGACACCGGTGTCTTTTAAGTACCAACTGCCGTAGTGCCACTATATATAGGCAATTCCTCGATGAGGGCAAGTGCAGTTAAACACCTGTTCCGAAGATTCAATATCTCGGAATTAAATCAGCCCCTGGAATCACCCCGGTAGTTCCAGGGTCTACTGTCATGCAAAAGGGGTGAATAATCTATCCACATCTCCTAAATAGGCAAACAGAGATGTGAACCCTATTTCAAGGCTGGTCAAAGGCTCGCTCAAGGAAGTCTTTCCGTAGCTGGTATTGACATAACTTGTCTCGGTCTTTTCACAATATCTCAATTTGCTGTAATCGGGGAAGCTAAGATTTGCTATTGACTGATCAAATTCAACCAAGTCCCAGTATTGAATTAGTGAAACCAACATGTCTCAGATAGATATTTTCATGGGGAGGAGGGGGGGATTCACATGCTGCTGTTGTTCAATGGTGTACCATCATGAACGTTGATATCAACTTGTGACACCATTCATTACTTGTACATAGCCGAAGGTGCTGGAATGAAAATGCTCAACGGATCTTATCATATCAGCACGAAACTAGAGGTTTATTATTGATAAACTTAAAAGCTCCAAAACTCCTGGAACCATAAGACAGACTCTCGGTCGATCATATCTTTTATTGTGGCTTTCGGTGTGGCTAAATGATGACGCAATAACAAATTCCGAGGCGTCAGAAATGCAACTCCCTTCCACACGTTCCTATTCATGACCAACTATGATCTGGCAGCCATGTTGCTCCTGGGAATATCCTTCAAATCATGTGGATACGGATATCCTTGGTCCGATCGTCGCGTTGGTGTATGTACCGCGATTGAGGCAACATATTGACATCCACAGTGCTCCTAGGAGCCGGTGCTGATAAGGCTAACCCGCGAAAAGATAACTGTGAATATACTTTCCAAGGTTGACGTGACTGCTTCTGCCCACAACATTTAAAAGGTCATGATTGTCCTTATGGTCGATTCTATCAAGTTTTTCTTTCCCTACAAGATCTTGACATTACAGTACCCGTACTAGGGGAGCCAAGCAATTATGGATTACAAATTGTCACGGGTATCGAACAGGCCCATTACCCCAGACACAGAAGGTCAAAACGGACATACATGGTAACCTGGTATCATCCTTCTAGATCCCCTTTCTCGAGGAATCCGTTGGCTAACAAACCTGTTTCATGGAGGCAATGAATCGGGTGAAAACTTCCGTCGGGTCGTCGGCCAATTCATCCACGGGGATCGCGGCAACGCAAGCCAGATTTTCCAACCGTCCGTTGACCGGTCCCCGCTTGACTCTGTAGCTACCTCTGTTGCTACCTCTATTGCTAGCTCAAGAGACTCTACATCGCCTCATAGCGACATGAAGGCTGAAACTGAAGACCTATCCCCACTGGAAGGGAAAAAGAGAGCAGCCGAATCCTCAACCCTCTCACGGAAACTGGCAACGCAAGAGATGCAACGAAAGAGACGTATAAGCGCTACAGCAATCAGTACGAAGATGATAAACGATACGATTCAATACCTACAAGCGGTATCTGATCACGTCTCAGTTTCTGACACCATTTCATCCAGGGAGTGGGCCACGATGCACCTCGCCACACAATTGCTACTGAGCAGGTACGAAGATATTACAGTGAGGGAAGAAGTGGAAACACATGCTGTGTCTGGCTTTTGTTCTGCACAGACACAACCAGAAGACAAGTGCCGGAGGTGTGCTGCTGCGGATGAGGAACGGCTATATGATTGAGAAGCTCCTCGTTCTTCTTAGCTATCCTTGGTAGCATGACTAGCCATTGCAACGCGTTGGACATGTAACCCAGAATTGTTGATTGAGAATCTACTAAGCCTCAGATCCATCAGTCCGTGGAATATTGGATCTCCAGGTACCAAGATGGGTTGAACAATCTATTGTAGACAATGTAGTCCTCTCAGTAAGCCAGAGCAATTACAAGACTCGCTCGATAATAAACAATAGGGATAGAGGCAACAGAAAAATGCCGTATCCTATTGTCTTATATATCTGAACACTTGATACTTGAAAGCAGACAGCATCACACCCTCAATATTTCGGTCATACAAAACCTAGATGTCGTTCGAGGATAATATCCCTTTAGCATTTAGTATTCCTATGGGCAACAGAATCCTGCGGTAGTTAATTGAGAGGCCAATATACTGAGCAGTCAGGCCATGTGTCGATTCGTGTGGAACAATGACTCAGTTGACTCAAGGCGCCATGTTAATGAGGGCTAAACAGCTGATCATCGGTCGTAACACGCAATATGTGCCGGTGATAGTGTCAGGTGGGGACCGTGGCTCGGCAGCCTCATCTTATGGCGGTCGATCATAGCTGCGATCTCCTATTTTTGAGCGGAGAAAACAAGAAAACATTCAAATTATTGAAAAAGACATTGGGGTTCTGTATAATACCAATTCGTATCACTGCGCGTATAAATAAATAGGATCACACTTCCCTTTGAATGCTTGCGCTTATCAAACTGGAAGTAATACACTTCTCACGTCATGTCAACCAGGCCATACACAGAGAACATGGTATGTGATCTCGACACTATCAAAGCCCAATCCCAGCTCCCCACTTCAATGTTGGGACCCACCACCTGCGAGACTCAAACGGCTGCCGCCACGAAAGCTGCCGGACTACGCCGCCATAGTCAATCGAAGGTTGTTACTGGGCCTCGTAAGGGCCTTTGCCTACCACGCTTGTGCGGTGTTGGAGATATTGCGTCCGTTTTGATTGTAAGACAAGAGTCACCATGGGATACCTATCGGGAGGTAATTACATATGAGATTGCTGGGAAAGTTACGATTGCCACGCGCCGTACCCGTCCGTCTCGCATGGTTGCCATCCGGACATATCGGAGGCAGGACGCTCAAAGATTAATCCACAAATTCGGGCGTCTCGAGCATAGGAACGTCCTCTCCTTGCATGAATGCTATATACACGACGAGCTCGCGTTCTTTTTGGTTGACGACTTGCCGTTGACACTCGCGCATGTTGTGGTTTCTCCCACACTTTATCCCAGCGAAGCAGAATTGGGATCCATCATGTGCCAGGTTTGCCCGTCGTAGCCTGTTTGATGAGCTGTCCTGACTTTTTAGATCCTCGATGGTGCCCGCTATTTAGCATTATTTGGCCTTGCGCATCAGTCTCTCGCGTGTGACGAGATATTGTTCGGGATTGACGGGACCATCAAAATAGGTCTGTTGGTGAACCCCTCTTGCTTTGTCTGGCTAACAAATGGCAGCGTCTCTAGAATTTTGTGTAGATTGCACGTCACAGCAATCTGAAGCTGCATATATTGCCGCGCTTCCGTCAATCACGATGCGGCTCATGCAGAAATATGACAAAGATGAAGGCGTTGTTGGCGTGAATGATCTAGAGCGCTGGCCAATTGGTTCCGCTGCGGTGGATTTCTTATCCGCCACCGAGACGGCAGGATCGATCAATTTTCTAAGAAATGTAAGTTTTGCTAACAACGTATCGTATTTTGCTAAAATCCAGTAGCAACCACTTTTGGTGGCCAAGCATCGCCCAAGGGATGATCTGGTCGTTCTCGCAAGAGTAGCTCTGCTCTCTTGTAGTGTGAATTGCATTTATAATCTCGAATTTAGCAAGTCTTAGGGACCTACAATACTAAACAAATTTTCTCAAGCGTGACCTTGTCTATTCCTCGTAGTTTGTTAGGATTTATGCAGTATGCGGCCTAGCCGCATATCAATTCAAGTTACGCAAAATGAAATCTAAGTTTCGATATGGAAAACAATGCCACAAGTTCTAGCAAACACCAAAATAAGCCATAATTTAAGAATATTGACTTGAACACTAAGTGAATAGCGATTCTTATTTGCTATGTGTTCCTTGAGCACGGAACCAGCAGAACTCAATTTTGTGGATGCCTTACTCGCGGGTGGGGGGTTCAAGGTAGGCTCAAGCTGGGCTCAGGGTAGGCTCGGGGTAGGCTCAGGGTGGGCTCAGGGTAGGCTCAGGGTAGGCTCAGGGTGGGCTCAGGGTAGGCTCAGTTCGAAGTCAACTCAGATGAGGGGTAATATTCTCGGCACCCCACATTGTATTGTCATGCTTGGTCACACGTTACCGCTGATACCACCATCTGTCTTGTATTGTAATCTGGCCCATACCGGAAGAACTTTACTGTATTGCGAAGTAATCACACACGTCCGCCAACAGCTTTTTCAATACCGGGACTTGGGCTTTTCACTATTAGATGGACCCTGGGTCGTTTCGACAGATCCTCAGATGTATCGCCAGTTGTTCTCTATTTGCAAAGTGGATGTATCCTATTACCTGAATAACGTTGAATTATCCGTCTGGTACGAGGTGTACCATATCGTTATTTCGAGAATCGTGCCCGATCAACGCGCCGTCTTTAGCTGTGTATACCATGCCGGAAATTGAAAGTGAAGGGGCATTAAACGCCTATGAATAAGGCAAAGATAGATGCACCGATGGCCTTGCTAGTCCATCGAAATCATGACCCTGAATCAATCAAGACTTCAAGAGAACTGTGGCTCGGGAAAAGAATCTTCATTATCTCTACAGCTAATGTCACACCTCGCAGAAGATTAGCGAAGATTTGGTTGATTATGACGAGATAAGAGTAATTGGTGACGAGTTCTTGGCTGAAAGAACGGCGTTAATGGGGAGTAAAACAAAGGCCTCAAGGAAACAAGGTGAACGTTTTATGAGCATTGAATTGTAGGCAGATCATGGGCTTGCGCCGAAAGTTTTTTTTTTTTTTTTAGTTTCCTTTTGCTGTATCGTGGAGAGCCGTATAGGTATACATGTGGCCGAGTCGTTTTGTGCAACCTCCTACCCATTTCGCATGCTTTGGTAGTGAAAGGTCATAACGGAAGCCACAATAACATCATGTTCTAGTATATCGCTCCTTATCAAAAGACAAGAGTTACGAGACACACATTACATTCGAAAACAGTGTCGCCAATAGCAAAAAAGCAAGGTTAAGCTGGGTTTTAATACCAGAGCAGTTTGGCGACTCTGCGGAGGGACCATTGCCGTTATTCGGAACTGTGAAACTTAGTGAGGTTCGGCTATTGCCAAACGAACTATGCGGAACAGAGCACAGGAGAATAATGAGTATTGGAAATCGACTCTGTGGAGGAAGCGCCAAAGAGAAGAAGACGACTTTTTCAGAAAAGAAGACACTATCTGAGCGTAAGATCTAGAACTTGGCGATATGCTTGACTGATATTTGACAAAGAATAATAATTGTTGCCAACTCAAACCGGGGAATAGCGGTCCACCGTTTGCCTGCGCCGAGGTGGACCGTATCGCTCTCTTGACACACCTTTTTCGGTGCCTTTGCTCTTGCCACCCGCTGCTTGAACTGCCTCGGCAGGTGCGCCTCTGTATGAAGAATCGCTCCTCGCGTTGGAACTCCGCCCAGAATGATTAGAATTTGCAGTCTTGCGGTCCTTGAGGCGTGTGCAATAGCGCACCTGGAGGGAGCCTACCGACCTTCCAGGAAAATACTCTGCAATTCGCTTCCACGGCAATCTCTGCTCTTCCTTCAATTCAATCAAAAGCTGGTCGTCCTTAGACAGGATTCGGATTGGCCCAGTCGCTTTCCCAGTGCGGGATCCTTTCTGGGGGGGTTGCTTGTAATGCTGGCTGCCAATTTTGTTTTCATATTGTGATGTAGCTCTGCCTGATCTCTGAGAGCAGGAATGCTCCGCCTGCTCTTCAAAGGTAACTGAATATATGACCCTTGACAAATGTATCTGCCGTGTAAGGAAACCACGGATAGGAATCGTTTCGATATCGTGCAAGCTTGTTGGGGAAGTCTGATCTGCGACCACTTTGGTCTGAACCGCCTCTTTGACTGCGATGCGTGTAGTGTTGTGCCGGGGAGGTCTAGGCTTAAGCCGCACCGCAGGTCGCCTTGCTCTCTTGAGTCGACGGGAGGGAACACTGTTTCCGCGTGCATTTTCACCACTACTTTCACGCCCGTAGTCGGCATCGTCGGAGTTATCAGGGTCATCGCTGCTGTCATCAGGTAGATATTCATTCCGGTATCGCTTTCTGTTCGGAGAGCCCATTCGGGTTACTGTGACAGAGTCCTTAGTTCCTCGCACTTGGGGACGAAGATTGTAGATGACGACCGACGGCTTCTCCAACACTGGGGACTGATCTGACACTGGGGACTGATCCAACACTGGGGACTGATCCAACACTGGGGACTGATCCAACACTGGGGACTGATCCAACACTGGGGACTGATCCAACACAGGAGAGTGATCCAACGCTGGGGGCTGGTCCGACACTGGACAGAACCCTGTATCTGCCTCAGTCGGGCTGCATGACGATTGCTTCTCACTGACTTGAGATGCGGGTGAGATTGAACGCGCCAATGATCTTTTTTGACGAAGTTTAAGGGATGCTGACAGGCTCTCCGCATCACGGCGCTGTAGCTCGCCTTCATCGCAATGCGCTGCAGTCCCGTCTATATCGAGGCCAATAATCACATGGCTGTCGGAAACAGGCTGCCTGATGTACTTCTCGGCTGCCATGCTTCCCCCGATGGCGCAAGCTGCAGTTCCCAAGCTTAGTTCATCTGCTTCAATTCCAGCATCTCCAGATGATTGCTTTTCCTGGCTCGCAGGATCGAGAATTCGGTCATTGACTATTGTATTGCCGTCCGCTGTATACATTGTCGGGTTTGAATGTCGCAAAATGTCTCCTTCCATCGTGGGTTGGTCTGCATTTTACCACGTGAGCGAGACGACTGGGCAACCCAGCTGACTGAGAGAGTACTGACCTGCAACCTTACATGCTTCTGTTTGACTTATAATTTCTTTCTCTGCCACCGGGACGCCGAGGCCATCACAGACCGATGCAGGGCATGGAGCAGTGGATTGCTTAGTACCTCCCCCTCGGATAATATCTTGAGAAGAACATGTCAGGTTGCTCTCATAGTGCTCGTCACACTGGAAGTCTAGTCTCAAAGTGCGAAGTCAGCCTCAATTGTCGACCTTTTTTTTCATGAAGGGAAGAGAGATATGCACAATGGGTTGAACAGAGTGAATCGAAGAAATCAAGGGTCTCAAAATGATGGCCAGCACGTACTATCGTGACGCTGGTCGTATAAGCTTAGTCCTGAATCATTGCTGGAAATATTCTCCGGCAAGTCCCGACTCGCCGTGTTTACATTTGATACAGCAACGCTTGCATCCCTTCCGGAAGAGGCATTAAAGAAATCCATGTCGAACCCATTCGAGCAGTTCAGGGTCACTTCGTCCAACAGCTCGATGGGGGCTAATGACGTCTCGACTTCATCAGATGCATTAAAACTGCCTTGAAAATGCGGTGCATGTCCCGAGAATGGAGGGTTCGAATGCGACTGTTGGCTGTGTAGAGGCGAATGTGCTGGCGCGGGTCCATCCAAGGATGACTGCGAATGGATACTAACATGGTGACCGGGTACCTGGAGCGGTTTGGAATGCGTTTTTTTCACAGGCGGGCGATAATGGATGATGTCGTCCAGATTGATCGGTGCCATGCCACGAAAATATTCAGAAGTGATGCATCAGAATAGAAGAGGAAATCAGGGATAGATAGTTCATCTTTCGACGTTCTGAGGATTTCCAACGATCCTTTATATCAGCCTACCGCCCCCTGCCTGCGTCCAAGCGTTTGAATAAGTCGAATGGACAAGAGTCATGAGAAAAGACCGTGGCCTACCGATACGCAGATCCACCCAACCCATCCACAACGGAAATAGCTGAGGAGCCACGCGTTAGGCCGCCAGTACATGCGGCATTTCTCCCATTGGATGGAACGTTCCATATTAGGATTATTCCACGGTCTTCTGGTCGATTCATTGAGTTGCCCTGCTGCGCCTCGCCCGAATAGCGTTATGGCGAAGTGATCGTCTCCGAAGGGGCGAAGGGGTGCTTGGCGTGGGCATCAGCGTCCAATCCGGTGAGAGACCATTGTGTACATGACGATACCGATGCTCTCCGGAGCCTCCGAGGGTCCAGAAGCCTCGGTCCCCTTAGCTGCGTCTTGCCAGAACAGTCCGATTGCGACAGGATCATCCACGGAAGATCACTTGGCGCGGACATTGATGTCCAATCAAATGATAACTCATCATCCATAAAGTAACGCTGGCCCACAATGCGACCTAAAAGTCGAAGCCCTCACGATAAGCATCGGGGAATGAGACATTCTTCGTTATGGTCTCAAGATGGTGGGTGGGCGGGGCGTAAGCGCAGCGAATGACAATAGATGCATGCGTGTGACAGGTGCCTGTGATCAGTACTAGAGACGGAGAGCATTGCTTTGCAATCTTGCTCGACCGAACACCTGGTCGATTGAAGCGAGTCAAGGTTCCCTTCCCGGGCCGGACGTAGACGGCTGCGCCGTTGCAGCGACGAAAACAAGCACATGCCCTGGAATCTGGGACCAGCAATGCAGCGGCCCAATCTGAGCAAGGATGACCAGAACCGATGGAATGGATACATGTACAGTCAACCGAGTGGAGACAGGGCGCGTAGGCGACGACGAAGAAATCACCTGGATCAGGAATGTCCTGGGAACGGAATGCCGTGCGATCCGGAATTACGGTATCATTTCACCGCTGGGCGTGACGGGAAAGAGAGGGATGCCGTCAGTCAAACAGACGAGGACGATCGAGCGACGCACTGGAAGTTATATAGTCCAAGAGGTGAGGCTGGCAGGCGGTCGGAGATGGCAGATCCCCGTTTGGGGATAGCCGGAGGCGCCAAACTGCTTTGGGGGCCACTAGACCAGATCCGAGTCCGCTAAACCAGAACAGGAGATGGTGGTGCCTCTGCCATTTCAGGAAAAGCGTAGATGCCAAACCGAAGTGGGATGGACTAAACCCAAACGAGGCGGACACTAAGCCCGATCTAGGGTGGCCGAATCCGGCCGTGCCGGCACAAATGCTTATTGTACTCTAAAAAACATGTTATATAGGTAAAATACCAAGGCGTATAACTTTCCCTATATAACACCCCCCGTCTAAGGAAGAAGGTATTATATAGATAATATACTACCTTCTATATATAGTAAATAGCTAACTAATAGACCTAGTAATAGTAGAGTACTAGCTAATAATGTTAAAAGGTAATAAACACCCCTCTATTTTAGGTAATAGTAGACCCCCCGGAGTAAGCTTAGTATTATATTACTTAGAAAAGTACGGGCTATCTAATAATAAAATAATAATTGTAATAACACTAGGAAGTGATCGAGTAGACTACTCCCGATTAGTCAAAAAAGTGTTAAAAACCGTCCTATAGAGAGACCTTAGGTGGCACTCTCAATTATATATATCTCTACACTCCGATATATATCTCTACAATATTAGTCTAAACTTTTACTACTAGGAAATAAGGTTTCCTAGTATCCTAATTAGGTCTAGCGTATAGCTCACTAGCTAATAATGTCTACTACTATATTAGATAGACCATAATATACTAGTATACTACCTTTTACTAGAAATCTAAGGTTTAACCGCTAATAACTCGTCTACTAATAGACCTACTAGTTTATAAATAGGATATTTGAAATCAGCTAACTTTTCTCTATTGAATAAGCCCCTTACCGAATTCGTAGTATACGGGACTTGCTAGTTATAGTGCCTAAGGTAATGCCTAGACTCTTACGTTCACGTGGCCGCTAATAGTAAATTACGCGGGTGTAAGATACGAATACGGGGTAATCTATTTAGTAAGGGCCACCATAGATAAGGGTGGGTATCCGATTACGGTAATAAATCCCGTCGGTCGCAACGCATGCAAGGTTTTCACCTATTTTTGATCATCCGCCACACCACCATTATTAGTCTGATCGTGCTCAAACTTTCACGATTGCTAGATCTGATAGTTAAATAGACTATGTCCAATTTATAGATTGATCGGAGCAATACGTAGCTCGTGGTCGTAGAGTAAACGTCGAACCTTTAGTACTGCGACCGGGTGACCCCATCAAAACTTTTCACCAATTTTTGATCATAGACCACACTACCATTATTAGTCTGACCGTGGTCAAACTTTCACAATTCTTAGAGCTAATAGTTAAATAGACCGTGTCTAATTTATAGACTGATTGGAGCAGTACGTAGCCTATAGTCGCGGAGTAAACGTCGAACCCTAAGTACTACAACCACCCAAAAAGGTACAAGGAGGTACAAGACCAAAATACTTCAAACGCGTATAACTCAATTACTAGAAGGCTGTGCAAGCTCCGAAGCAAATCGGAGATACCTCACGTATACGTCTATAGCCAATGTAAGTCTTAGATCGATCGGAGCTAACTAGACCTCTGCAGTCTGGCGAGGAAAAGAACCTGCAGTCTGGCGTAGCCGTATATTGAGGTACCGTAGTTAAGAGCCAAGCCCTAACCTGCAGTCTGGCAGACTGCAGCACCCCCCGTGGGATAGGGTTTTCCGGGGGAATTTGTCAGCCATTCTAAAACTTATGTAAGTTATAAAGTAATGTAGTTAGTTAAGTTAACGTTATCTCCCGCTTATGCTGCGCACCCCATCAAAATCGCGTCTTCCCCACCTACAACATATCTTCTTCCACTAGTTAGATAGTCCTTGGAGGGTCGGAGCTTCTCTCCTTCGCCATCCTTTTCTCCACCATTAATATTGACCTATTATTGCTTCCTCCTCCCCTTGTCTAGAAGATTCCATTTTTTGCGGCAGTATCATCCTACTCTACTTTATCTACCATATGTCTTAGAGCCCTTCATCTACAGCTTTGGTTTCTCTCTTAGCCAATCTCATTTATTTTAGGACTTCTACCTTTTGTCACTATATACTGGATTCGGGACAGCAGCTCCCTTCTTCCTACTTTCTGCTAGACCACCTTAGAATCATTCTTCACATATGGGGGATATATGTATCAGTCTTGCTTTTAGAAGCTACTAGTAGCGGGAACAACGCTTCCATTTTCGTAGGAGTCACATAGGGCGGGGTGGTCTGTGCCACTTGTTTAATAACCTAGCTAAAAAAAAGAGAGACCGAGTGCTAGTGATTAGAGGGTTCGGAGCTTTAGTTTTATGTAGCGTCTCGCTCTACAACGCTGTCTTTTCGAGCATAACTCGCCTAACAGCCTCTTATATCTTAATAGCTTTGGTTAACGGCATCGGAGGGGAGCTCTATTCCCGTGGATCTATTTAAGCCCTAAATCAACGTTCACCTAAGCCCTATACTATGTCGGGGCATTCGTGGTTGCACCTATGCTCTATGATTGCATCCATATTTCATACTTCAATCTTGGTTTCTTCTATTTGTAAGTGACAGACTTAAGCCCCTAATCGCATAAGATTTCGATCTCGGTTATTTCTATGAGAATTTTGGTCATCTTTATTAATAATGTCGATAGCGCGTAAGATCCCGACCGGCTCGGCACGGTGTACCAACTATCGGCCTATTGGCTCGACCTAAACCTATAATAATTCTGTAATCTCTAGGCTGTCGTCTAGCGCCCCGGTTAGGTGCTAATCTCAACCGCAATTTCGAGTCACCTATTTATTACAAAGTTATATAAGCGGGAGTTATACTTTTTTAGGTCGGAAACATCCGCTTTCGAGTATTTTGTTGCTCTGTAAATGACGTTTTTTGGCTACTTTGATAGGGCCAGACCACTTCGTCTGGAATGAATTGAAGAATCCGACCAAAGCAAGGGTAACGTCAATACAATTTCATCTTCGGAAGAACTAGCTCACTCCACATTTCAATACTCTCTCCTCCACTCCACGCGAATTTTTACATATAGCAGAGGGCTATCTACCGGCTTCCCGTTCCTGCTAATGCGACGAAGCGGTTGGTCCTTTGACCAGGCTCATCGGTCAAACACGAGTCTAGAGTAACAGCTATGGCGTGGAGGGAAAACGCCTATGCTACACGAGCGATGGGTGAATAAGCTCATCCACTTTCCCTCTCTACTTCGAAACTCGAGACTGGTTTATACGTCTGCCATTGCGTCTGCTTTGGAGGCTGCCATTGCCGAGATCGATAAAGACACCGCCATCTCCCACAATCGCTCTAGTCGCTCCCCAGAACCTTTTACCAAACGGATCTAGTCACGCATACACGATATGGCAAAGGAAGTGTTCATCTTTACACACGCCGGCCGCAGTCAAACTGATTGGCTCAACCGGGCCTTTCCTTCACGATCCCATGGGCTTTGGACAGCGTTTGTCTATTGCTCGTTTTTCGAGAATGCTTTATGACAGAGGCATGCATGTCAAGTTTCATCATTTACATGGACGTCACGATAACAATGGCCAGTTACATATACGGACTCTGGCAAGAACGGCAGCTTCAGAGCTCCCATCCAGGCAGGTTCAGATCCAAACAAATAGCTTAGCTAGGACTGCATGTATTATCCAAGAAGTATTAACTCGAAATAACATTTAATGAATTGTTTAAACGACTTTGGAGCCAGGCGTAGAGCGCAGAAAGATGCTTTTGACTACAGTAGTATAAACTTGATGTTCTACAGGCAGCAAGTGGGGAATCAGACATAAAAACGTGACCTGGGAGTATATGAAACCACTTCATAACTGGGACTTTAGGAATGAAACCACCTGGATACCTATGGCTTCTAAAGTAACCGTCAAGACATGGGACTAAACAATCTTGCCCTATATAAATTACGCCAACTTGGTCCATCATTAACAGTTGGCGCCCGACGGGCAGCAAGAGGTTCCACTACGAGAACACCCATTGCAACAGACAGTACAATCGATGCTGGGAAGTGACGGGGTCCCTAGGTCGTATAGGCAGTTGGGCCCAGGAATTTGCTTCACTTTAAAGCTGCCGATACGGTCGTTCCACCCTGCGGCTCTCAAATCCGACTAAGTAGTGTTAGTTTTTGTAGAGAAAGGGAAAGGAAAAGAACATGACATACATAGCCCGGATTCCAGATGGTCAGGGTATTAGAAGATCCACAGTTATAGTCCCTGCATCATTTATCAGCTAAGAAGAATATAGAATACGGAGACTATCAAAGGGTAAACATACTCGTAAGCCACAATAGCATTATACTCATCAGGGCCGATTGAAGAGATGGAATGCCACCTAAAGTGATAAGTGGGTCAATAAAATCCACGATTCGGCCGATTTCTCAAAGATACCACTTACCAGGGGGAATCCAGCCGAATGCACAGATCCCATGGCTGTTTGGCAAAACCGCAGTTTCCACCCCAGTTGATATCGGTGCAGATTTTCACCTAATAGTAATCCTCAGTCATTGAACATATGCTCATTGAGTATAAACTGAAAGATTGGAAAATACGTACACCGCCTTCCACACGCTTCTCGAGGCCTGTGGATTCAATGAAAGACACGGACATGCTATCGGGTTCTCTTTTAGTGAGGTCCTCGGCAGATGGTGCCGCAGCAACTAGCGAGAGAAGAGCAGCTATGGCTACTGTTGCACGCATGATGGAGATTCAAAATTTTTGATTAGTGTTGGTTCCTATTGATGGGGGTTTGTACAGTCTTAATAGCGTGGGAAAGGCTTAGAAGGGAGAACTTATACTCCCATATTTTGAATACGATAGGATTGCGGGGTTGGCCGGTGACAGCTGGATGGAGTGAAGGTGGAGAGCAATAAGAGTAGTTCCGCAATGACCCATTCTGCAGTAAGAAATAAGTTCCGCCCAGTCCTCAGCTCGCTTGGAGTTCTGTTGATGTTTGATTGAGATACACTCAAAACGGCAATTGGTTCTTGTATCTCGGAGCAAGTCCGAAGAGGCATAGTTCGCCTTGGCTGATTTCGTGGCTAAGACAAAATAGGGTCCTCAGGTACGTTTTGGGCACGGCCCGGCGGCAGACCCTGATCACCGAGTGTGAATGTCTCAGATTAATCTGACTGCGTGAAACTGGGTGTTGATTACCGACCAGGGGCAGCCAGCTGTAACCGCTTAATTGCCGTTATGCGGCGAACTTTTCGATGATCCAATGCGGGATGCTCCACCACGAGCAGATGTAACCCTAGTCAGCCTCGTGGGACTACATGTCCGCGGCTGAGATCAATATACTAGCTAGAGTTGTGATATTATCGGCAATCTTTAGGCACTCTAGCTTGAGCGCTAGATGGTCACATGTGATCAATCCCTGGCCTAACTTACATTGTGTACTCAGGGGCTATACAACCATCAAACCCAATTTCATATCTGTAAATGCCTTTGTATTTATTCCCAACTGGAACAGAACTTCCATCAAAATGGTTCGAGCTGTTTCTGTTCTGGCATTGATATTCCTCGCCCTCGCTCCAGCCGAGTCTGCTCGAACGCTGCAGCATACAGGCCAGCAAGCTCCGCTAATTCAGGGTAAAACCCTGGGAAGCGGTTTTCAGGGTCGATTTTCAACGGGAGTAGGTGATCTAATTATGCACATCGAGGAAGAAACTAACCCTGGGTAGGGTCCGCATTCACAACCTGGTCGCCAGGCTCCGGTGTCAACTCCCCCCAAAGTCAGTAATAAAGCGCATCTGGTCAGAGTTGGGAAGAAGGAGGACTTGACAGTCGCACTCGAGCGGGTCGGTCTTTTGCCACGGTTCTTTAAGTACAAGTCTAACATCACTTAGCCATACGAAGCCCTGTTCGGCCAAGTAGGTGTCAACAAGCACAACTATCGCAATGGTGTATATACCAGCCTGAAGGAGTTTCATTCGACTGTACTACAAGACTAGATACAAGGGAATAGATAGATCTATGAATGCGAGACTTTGGTACACAATGAAACACATGATTTTGGGATACTCCAGTGTGGGTAACTGTCAGATTTGTGACACTGATAACTATGGTCAGAAGTTGATGACTGTAACATCAACCATCAGCTCCCGAGGGTATTTCTTAATGCGCGCAAGAATTTCACCTCCTCTGGATGTTCCAAATGCCGGACGAAGATGAAACTCCAAGCTATATTGAAACTCTAGATAATGCAGTCGAAGGCCATAGATCATGTCTAGGACACTGATTCCTCGGCATTCCCGACCTGCATTGTGGGGAAAGTCCTCTATGCATAAGACAAAGGGTGGGGTTTTGCTATCAGAGTCGGAGTCCTCCTCCTCTTCCTCCTCCTCATACCCGGGAGGTTTGTGGCCCCTCCGGCGAGAGATCACCACCAGGTCCGCTAGACTAGGCTCCTCCTGGGAAATGGTCCCGTGGACAATCGACAATTTGGACACAGGTGGCCAAGTCAGATACTGGTCTCTCCACGAGGCATGTTCATAAGCCATCGCCTGCAGAGTTGGGTCCGTTTCAACAGAATGGAATTGGGTTGTATTGACCAGGGTCGTTTCCAGGCTAGGGCACCAGCGCAGTCGGCTGATAACAAATGTATTCAGTTGCGGAATCTTCGTCAGGGTATCCTGGAAGGGCCCTTGACCGGTGAAAGTGGAGGCACATAGATTAGGCGCATTTTTGATAAGGGAACGCCACGACTGAGACACACGCTGCAGCTGGAGTAATTCCCCCTGTGATAGATGGCCTAGGATCGAAGACAGTAGTTCCGGGGTGCCTAGAACACGGGCGAGAGCGTCGGAATGGTCCATCGCTCCGTGTATTGGATAGTGAATGAGTGCAGGACGTTGTATTTGGTGAGATTAGACGATGTCAAGGGGTGAAAGAAAAAAAAAACAATTGGTCGCCAAGAAGTGGTTGGGGTTCAGCGGTTTGACCATTAAATAGTCCCTCCACTAGCGGGCACTAGCGGGACGAGCTGGGGATTGGGCAGCTTAATCTCCGGGTCTTTTGGCACCTTCAGCCTATCCAGTCTTCGGCACTAATTTAGGCCCTGCAGCACGCTACTTCATTTATCCACCTGCCCCGGGAACAAGATGGCAACGATACCCGACGAATATCAGTCAGCCGAGTGCCAAATCGCTATATGCTGTATATTGAGTTGACCTTGGCGTAGAACCCCGTTCAGTATGTCTGGCATGCTACTGTATTCCCCCAAATCACACCCGAACTGTTATCTAGCCCATCACACAGAGAACTCCGTGAATCTTAACCCGAATTATCTAGTGCTTGAAGGTGTGCTAAGACTAGACCGAGAACAGCGATTCCCCACCCGGCTTTGATCATGTCCACAATAAATAGCCCTCTAACGGGCTCGCTACCTATCTAGATCCTAGTCAAGTAAGCCAAAAGTAGTCGTTGTGCGGAGAGTGCCCCAAAATAGAAATTGTGCCAGATTTGCTATGTACAGCTTTTTTTTTCTTTTTCTGACTATTGATTAGCTGATAGAAGTAGTCCTTGGTCATTAAGGGAGATTATTATGATAATTAAACAAGATACATTGAGTCAATCTAGTGCGATACTACCCCTCCCCAAGGTTTCAAAAAGCTAGGATGTTAGGATGTGGAACGTAGCATGCGGCGACTCTGACTCGGTTTCATCGCTAGCATCCTTCAACAGCTGGAAAGAAGTCGTGGGCGGTGGGGCCTGGAGCGCAAAGCCTGCATCGTTCAGGTCTGCACAGAACTTGCCAGTGCAATGAAAGCGGCCGTTGATTTCCTTGATGGATTCTCGTTTCGCGTTGGCGACCGCGGTAGTCGCTGCATTGTTCGCATAGGCGGGCATCACTACCTGGGCTGCTGTCGCTGCGCTCGCCGCTCCCAATGCGGTGGTAGTAAAGTGGAACTTCATCACCGGGTCTTGCCATGGGCTCCGTGCTTTGGCATAATTCTGACGGGAGTTCCATTAGCCAAGTATATGGAGAAAGATAGGAAGATCACATACCCCGAGTAATGCGTGTGCTCGGGCTTGCCAGTCCTGCTCGCTCTGAGTATTGGGATAAACCCCAGGACCATATTTCGCCTGCACATCTGCCCAGGTTTTTGATTCACAAGACACGGCTTTGGGTGCACAGTATACACTGGTGTATGGAAGGAGGCCGTTCACTCCCCCTTCAATCCAACTACAAGAAGCATATTAGAAATGAGGGCCAAGGATTGAATCATGAACTTACGAAGCGGCTGGAAATTCATCACAAGTATACCTCATCCCACTGGGACCAGTACCCAGCAAGTTAGGAATCTCCATCTCAAACTCGGGGTTTTGCCAGGTGGCAAGGGGCCCGACACGAGCAGGTAGACTGCCAGGCATCACGAGGGGTTGCGCAGGGTCACTACCACAGGCGGAATTGAGAACACTTGTCCAGGCTCCTTGGCCGGGACATGACTGTCTACGCCGTTTTTCTGTGCTCTTCTTTTCAGAGTCATAATGGAAGTCCAAACCCGTACCCATCGGAATGCTATTGTCCGTCAGGTATTCCTCCACATTTTTGCAGATTGACGGGAGATTGTCGCAGTTGTAGATGAGAGTTGGTAATGGAATGTAGACATCAACGGGCTGGCCTGTATATTCAGCAACTCCACCAACTGGAGTTGAAGTCACCCGGTCCAGAGCCACTGTCCCAAAAACGAGGCTCAAGACAAGAAGATTATACTTCGAGGGACTCATATTGACAAACATGTTGGCCCGAGTATACGGAAGGGTTTGGGGGAAACGACATTATCAAACATTCTACAAGATCTAGCAGCATAGCAGAACAGACCCATTTGCTCCAATAAAATCGCAGGATTCCAAAGACTGAGGCTCGGCTACTTTTGCCGTTGATAAGGGCTGTCGGAGATTTGAGGTAGGAGGGGCAGGGGCAGATGGATGGTAACTAGTACCTAAGTGGAATCGTGCCCTAATGGTGAGGCATCTACTACCTTAATGCAGTCAACCACGAGTCTCTCTGCAGTAAACCTGCAGTAGCGTGGTGGAGGCAGGGGAGCTCCACAGGGTAACCGGATGCCATTTCTCTACTGTAATCTCCGAGGCATTCAATAGTTCACCCGATTAGGACGCTGGTCTCATTTGAAAGCTCCGCAGATGCAACTCGCCTTCTTTCTGTGATAACCCAGTGTTTGATACTTTGCCCTGTCTCTCGTTATTTCGCATTCACACATACCTCGATTATATTATGGGCTCTTGCTAAAAGCACATTTGCGGTCAACCCTCCGCTGTCACCATGAGGATTCTCTTATTCGGCCTTCTTCCGTCTCTTTTCCAAGTCATTGCCTCTGCATGGCCACTTGATCAGTCCATTCCCTACGATAGGACTGTGATTCAGAAATGGGCCGTATCTGCTTCTATCCACACCCCAAATGAGGGTAACAAATCTACCCTCCATACCCGTCGAGATGGAGGATACTGGTACGAGTCTGCAAGCCATGGTATCTCGGCCTTTGGGGATTCGAGCTACCAAGTCTTCCGCAACGTGAAGAACTACGGAGCGGTAGGAGATGGTGTGGCCGATGATACCGAGGCGATCAACCGCGCCATCACAGATGGCAATCGATGCGGAGAGACATGTGGTTCTTCAACCACCACGCCGGCGGTTGTCTACTTTCCATCGGGTACATACCTTGTTTCGGCGCCGT